TACATCAAACATTTACAAGCACATTCTTCAAACTTATACAAACAATGACACTAAAATACTTATGAACTCACACTACTAGAAAAACAGCCTTTTACGGCGCACAAACAATGACACACAGTGATTTACGATACGTAAAAGCGTGCACCCTAAAAATAATGTCATCTCTTCTAAAATTTGAAGGATAGAGGACACACATTTGTGCGTGCCCTGAAATTAGTGTCAGAAAAGAAAAAAAAATACAAACACGGAGGGCGCTTATCTTAAATGTGTGTCCTCTTCAAATGTCGCTTTATATATATATTTTTTTGCTTAAATGCGCGTTTTTAAAGGGGGAAATCGAAATCGTCTGAAATTCTAAAATTTTGAAGAACCCCGCTTCTACCCTCTCTCCTCAGTATCTCCCTTCATTCTCTCTGTAAACCCTAAGCCATCACCATCGCCACCACCATTGAACCTTTAAAAACTCAATCCACACTTCACGCTTCTGTGATTCTCTCTTCTTCGGCTCTCTAATCTCCGATTTTAGTCTGAAAACATCTATCGACCTCCGATTAGAAACCCAAAAAAATTAGAAAACTCCACATTTCCGAGCGTGTTGGCGCCGGTGCTCTGGTGTACCTTGTCACCGTTTTATAATTCGCCCGACCCCTTAATTTTAGCAAACCCATCAGAACCCTAGGTCTTTCCTTTTATGCTTTCACATCCTTCCTTCCCTATTCGTATGTTATTCTGAATCCTTATTTCTTTTCTCTATCACGAACACGCCTCTATCGCATTGCTCTGCTCACCATTGTCATCTTAGGCTCTTACGCATCCATCGTGGTCTCTGTGCTCATCGTATCATCATACATGCCGCCTCTTCTCGTCGTTCTACTCCTTGACCCTACGCAGGTAATATCATCAGTGTTCCCTTACTGGTCATTATTTTTCTTATTCCCTTCTTTTGTTGTTGCCAATTTCCATTAGCTGGTAAGTTTTGGCATAATAGTTTGCACTCATCTCGCCTATTCTCCTCTTTTTGTTCTCTCAATCTCAATATTTGTTCTTCATATTCTGTTGAATGATGTTTGTTTTGAATTTTGATTTTTACTATGAAATTGAGGGTTAGTTTAATGCATTTTATAATTGTTGATATCGAGCCTACGACCTGTTTATTTTTTCTTTTTCCTGGTCCCCTTTTATCTTACTAAATTATTTGCTTTTTATGTTTTTGATGAATCTTGATTTGTGGGAAGGATGAATTAATGTTGACAGAGTGGTTTTGTTTTTTTTATGAACACCACCTGTTTGATAAATTTCCCCAATGAACAAGCAAAAGTACAATTGACTAATTCATCAATGGCATTAATAATCACACTCTGATACAACATGCAAACTAAGGCAGAGATGTAATCGGGTTTAGGCATAGGGAGGTGATAATGGAAATGGATGTTTATGTTTCTATGATGACTATCTTTTCAAGTTTGAAGTTGTTGACAAAAATGGAAATATGTTCCTGTGTGATGGTTGTGCAGTTTCAATTTTGTGTCCATCACTGTCTTTTCTTTTCTTTTAGAAGATGTATGTTCTGGTATGGTTGGTTATGTTGGCATATGGGTTTCTATACGTGCTAATGTTCGTGTTTCAAGTGTTGCAAGAAGGTCTGCATGAAAGGCTTTACATGTTTCTTTCTTTCTTTATTCTTTACTTACATAGTTGTTTTCTAAGCATCTTGCTGAGCTGGCAGATTTTTTTGTTTAGATAGCGATTTGTAATGGTGGTTTCTCTGCCTTGGTGGTGGTTAGTATGGTTGTTATTGGTGTTGCAATCCTGTATGCCACATTCTATGTTTGGTGTGGTGTGGACAGACCTGGATCAATGAAGGTTACTGACTGTTGGTGTCCATTTAGTATCTTATTTAGTTCCAGAACATGTTCAATTTTTATAATGAAGCTCCATTTTTGAAATGATTAATGACATAGTTAAATGTTGTAATTGTTTGAAATCCAGTTTAGTAAGGAACCTGGTAAAAGAATTCAAGCCTAAGGTCGTGTATATTGCTCTTCATGGGAATAACAATTCCGGTGATACTCCCAAAAAGAATTCTGATCCTAACTCTGTGAGTTCAATGGCAATTCCTTTTCCACTTTCCGGATTCCAATATAATCCAATACAATTGGAATTCATGATTCCATTCCATGATACGGTTGGTTGTGAAATGGACAAAATCTAATTTAGAATCCTTCACAATTGATGAATTTCAAAATTCAGATGGGAAGGTGGAATTTTTTTTATTTTTTATAAAAGACCAAAATACCCTTGTATTAAATTACGTTAAATAGAAAATCAACAAAATTATCTAACTATTAGAAACATAAAGTTATCTAATTTTAATTGTGCCAAGCAAATGCGTCAAAGTTCATATTCTGTAATAAAGTGCCTCTAGAACATGGATACATTAGAACATTGGATGCACACCTCTCAATAACTATTTCTTTTGGTGGGTTTTAAAGTTTGCTTGAGTTTGCAGAACAATTTATTTTTGTTTTTTTTTTCATATATGTAATTAGTTTCACTTTGTTCTGCGATCATTGACAAGTTATTATACTGAAGGAGATATTCAATTCAATCTATTGTCATAGATTATAGGTAACCTTTGAATTAACATTGTAATCTTTTTCAGGGGGAAGGGAGGGTTTGTTTCTCCAGAGAAGCCAAGTTGGAATTTTTGAAGCAGAAGAGGCTTCAACGGATGCAAACATGCACATTAAATAATGACATTGCATATGTGACTAATTTGATGTCTAGAAGCAGTGGAGATGCCTTAAGAGATCCCGCATCCTGTGGTGTGAGATCATTCAGAAATCCAGATATATATGCAAAATTTGGTAGTGGTCTGAATGAGAGAGACACCATCTCAAAACAAAAGATGGACAAGTTTGACACAACTGATCTTGATTGGACTGATAGCATGCCAGAATGTCCAGTATATTTCCCAAGTAAAGAAGAGTTCGAGGACCCTTTGGCTTTTCTCCAAAAAATTGCCCCTGAAGCTTCAAAATATGGTAATTAACTTAATAACTTGTCATTAAAAGTTTCTTAACATGAAAGGTGTGTAAATCCATTTCCATGAAATTTTATCACAACAACATTTCTCAGGTATATGCAAGATTGTTTCCCCTTTGAGTGCCTCTGTTCCAGCTGGCATGGTTTTGATGAAAGAGAAAGTTGGTTTTATGTTTACTACAAGGGTGCATCCTCTTCGTCTTGCTGAGTGGAATACTGATGATAAAGTCACATTTTTCTTGAGTGGAAGGTGTGTTTCTTTTTATATATTTGGAATTTACTTTTTCTTTTTATTATGATATTAGGTTTTGAGTATCTTTTTTATTCATCAGAAACTCAAGCAAACTTGATGATAACTCTTTTCTCGATCTTCTTGGTGAAAATGCCACTTTAAAAAAGTGTGAGCATGATTCTGGGATCACCAACGCATTTATATCATCAATGCTATGTGCTTCACCGGATCTAATACTGCAACATTTCCTGGAAGTTATATCTATTTCAAAGAAACTAAGTGGATTTCTTTTTTTCTATCCTATATTCTATCTGTTTTCTTGAAAGGAGTTTTTTCAATGATATCTCCAAGTCATGGCCTGAATTGTTATTTTCAGGATTAGAAAGGGCAGTTGATGATCAAATCAAAGGGGATATAACAAACTCTTCTGAAGCATTCTCTTGTTTTCTGAAGCAGGCTCCATTTTATGTGGTGTTTCCAGCTATTATAAGCCCTGGATGCTTGTATTTGTCCAAGTCATCCAACCTTCAGGACTTTCTGTTGGTTAAGCTGTCAAAAGAGATGTATGATAATTTTGTTTCTTCTTTCTGCCTTGTGTTTCCCAGTTTCATCATGTACTGGTTTGTAATTTTATTTTATGAAAATTACACTATTTCATATTATTCAGATGTCTTGTGAATATTACAGGATTGTCAGATATACAAGGGTTGGAACTTGTTTTCCTCAAACTAAAAAAATCGTCCCATGCATCATCAACAGAACCCTCATCCGAGCCTCTTCCTGTGTTGTTGTTGCTTCTCTCTCCTTCCTTCGTGCAAACTACACATCACATCTCTTTATCATTATTATTATATTCTCTTAAAATAAAAAGTAAGTGTATGTATGTATGTACCTTGTTAGTGGCAAAAGCTACAGTGTTCCCACATTCAACATCTGTTATTGCTGACCTTGTTGTTCATCAGTTGGAATTAATAACCGATCTTCTTGGGACACCATCAACAGATACCATTTCTGGAGTATGACTCTTCACTTTTTTTTTCCATTTTATAAAAACTTAAGTAGTGTTTGGTGTGGTGGAATCGGAAAAGGAATAGACAAAAAGCTCAAAAACTGAATCAACAAAAGTCTTCTAACCCTTGGAACTGTACGTATTTTAATTTATGCTTTTGTACTTGACCAATTTATTTATTTATTTATTTTTGTTTGGGAAATTTATTTTAACTGGATTTGCAGGTAATTCGAAAGCTTAGTGAGGGGAAGGCTTCTCATTGAGTGGCCATGGACATGTTTCAGTAAGTATAAACTATAAATAAATCAGAATTAGTAACCGGCTTGATCAACCCAAGTGGATTCACGAAAGGAACCGGTATGTGCTACTGAAAAAGGCGAAGTCACTCCATCTGTTTATTCACGAAAGGAATCGGTGGCAAACCAATGATATGGAAGATTTAATTTGACATGATATCTAAAACAAGAAGGTGACCTTAATTGAAATGTAGTATTAGGTTATATAGTTTGGGAAAACCTCTTAATAACAATGTACAATTAGATCCCTTAATATCGATGTATTACAATTTTTTGACATGATTTTATTGGATGAAATTGATTGTTTTGATATATATTTGTTTATATATTTTTGTATTATGCGTAAATGAGTATCTTAAAGGCACATCGTATATGCATATCGTAAATGGTTGTTGAAGTTTATGACATGCAAATGTGTGTCATCTTCATTTATGACAGGGGCTTTAATGATACGCAATGCGTGTCCTAAACGCGCATCGTTAGATTACGACACGCAAATGCGTGTCGTCTTCCTTTATGACAGGGCCTTCCTTGATACGCATTGTGTGTCGTAACTACGCGTCGTAAATGCGTGTCATAAATGTACGTCGTAAATAGGCGACGTGCAAAAGCGTGTCGTCTCTCGTTATGACAGGGCCTTCCTTGACACGCATTTGCGCGTCGTCTGAGCGTTTTACGACACGCATTGTGCGTCGTAAAAGGCTGTTTTTCTAGTAGTGTCACCAGCTTTAATGCTGATCTATGCTTTAAAAATAACTTGTATTCTCAGGTCGCCAGTAGACAGGTACTGATGACCAGGTTTTGAGAAGACGGAGCTTTCAAGACCCGTCTTTATTTTGACTATTCATTTTTGGTGTCTTATAAACTACAGAATACATTTGTATTAAAATTATACTATTAATGCAATGGATGATGTTGTTGCTTGTTTACTATTATGCATTGTTGTGATACTGTACATGACGTCCTCCGCCCCCGCACGTTTCCGCCATTGTGGTTTGGGGGTGTGACATCTTGTGATTATTGTTTTGACAAATTCACATGGATAAGAACACATACACCATAAAATCTAAGTGTCATAAGGTTTCTCTCCGATTCATGAAAATGATGGTGAGGAAACACTTTCACTAAGTAGATTTTAAGTAGATAACAGTTGTGATATTTGCATTCTCAAAGTCGTTAGTGGAGCGTGTGTAGTTAACCGGCACACTAACATCGACTTGTGAGAAATGGCAAAGGTCTAAACAATTGAGACTATGATTACGGCATCCCTTTTCATAGTTCTGAAATTGTTTAGACACACATGTGAGCTATTTAAGAAAAAGAGTATGATTTTGATAAAGTCTTGTCAAAGCAATCTCGTATCAGAAATCTGAACTTTGGTAAGAAGGTCAATAA